GTTCTAAGCCAAATAAAGTCTTTCTCCATCTCCTGAATTCCATAAATGATGAACAATTTCACAAATCAATAACAATTTCACAAATCATGAATAATTTCAAACCAAACATTGTAGCTTTTTAACAAATCAACAAAAATCTCATTCTTAAACAGACCATAAAGACTCAAACTCACCAAATTCTGTCAATTACTTCAAAATCAACTTTGACGACCCATTGTGCTCGGCCCCTACCAACATAGAACCCATTAATAACCAAATCAAGAACAAGTAAACTACGTAACTAACCTACACCGAAAATCCTTATCTCTTCAACATCAACCATGACGAAAATGTGATAAAAAAATAAAATCAACCAAATGGGTACCCGAGGATAAAAAAATAAAGGGAAAATTGCTTGGAGGAATCAAAATAAGTTTGGCTATTTATCCTCCTCCCCATCCCAAAAAGCATTACCCTCAAGCCCTTATTCTGAAAAAGAAGTGCAAGTAACCCCCAAACAGTGTACTGACTCCTTCCCCAATAAAGGCGTTCCCAAATTACCCTTCCCAAGTTAAATCGTCCTCCATCCTTCACAAATTTTGAGAGCCAGAGTCTCCGAGATCCTCTGATTTCTCTCTTTTGATTGTTGAGAGATTTGTGAGTTCCTAGGGGTTTTTTTATCGAGATTGATGGGGAAGGTGGCGGTGGGAGCGGCGGTGGTTTGCGCGGCGACGACGTGCGCGGCGGCGGTGCTGATCATAAGGCATCGGATGAAGAGCTCAGGGCGGTGGGCGAGGGCGGCGGCGATCTTGAAGGAGCTCCTGAGCTCTTCATTCCCCGGAATCCCCCACTCCTCCCTCATCTTCACGCTATCTCCGTCATCAAGATCGAAGCTCGACCAGATCAGCATCGCCTCCACCGCCGCCTTCTTCCTCATCGTGATGATCCGCCGCCTCTAGATCCGCCGCCTACGCCTCTTCATGTGCGCTCACCGGCAGATCGCCGCCAGCAGCTTTGGTCCAATTTTTGGTCTGGGTCACTCTCACTGTTTTCTGGGTCACTTTCATTGTTTCAACCAATGTACTTTGGATAAGCAATTTGAATAAATTTTATTTGACAAGGTGTTTAGAGTTATTAGTTCATAATTCAGTTTTGTGGGGTTTAACATTTGCTAAGGTTTCAATTTCTGCTTTGTGTATTGGCATTTCAATTTGGTATTTTAAAGGGTTGTTCGGCAATTTGATGCGCATCTAGAATGACCTAGTTTTGTTGATGTGGATAGCTCTACTGTGGGTTTTCTTGCTTTCAAGGACGGCAATTTGTATTGGAAAGAGATTATATGCTTTATGATACAATGTCGTCATTGAGAAGAAGTATGTTAGTAGTGCAGCAAGATTTTGCTGCGCAAAATGGTGAAGCAATCTTTGATATTTCTTCTCCACCTAAATTGCCTCATAACCGTAATAACTTAGCTCTTGGGAGATTGCTGAGATCATTTTCATACTCATTAGATTTTCGTGACATTTCGTCGCCAAGAAGTAGCTGGCCTACAGAGAGATCAAAATCGAAAGGGCTACGCATGAGAAGGTCATTCTTCCATTACTGTCTTCGTTTCATGCTAGGAATTTTCATTAGTTACACACCCTTCTTGTCGGTAAATGTCTCCAAGAATTTGCCATCTAGACAACATGCAATTTCTTTTGAGGACGAGACATTGGTTCATAATGCTCAACGAAGATTGATTCATTGGAGATAGAGAATCTATTTAGTGATAAACCACTGCCAATTGGGACCCATAGCTTAGAAGCAGTAGAGAAATTGGAAGTAAAAAGTGAGGTTCTTGGTGATTCACATGAGATACGGTCAGCTTTGATGACTCCCCCTTCTCATGTGACATAGTGGCATTATGAGTGATATATTCTGCTGTTATGTGACATTTTGGTATTCTGTGTGACTTATGTTATTGTTATGTGATATTTTGGTATTCTGTGTAATATATGTTGCTGTTATGTGACATTTTGGTTTTCTGTGTGACATATGCTGTTGTTATGTGACATTTTGATATTCTGTGTGACATATACTGCTGTTATGTGACATTTTGGTATTCTGTGTGGCATATGCTGTTGTTATGTGATATTTTTGATATTCTGTGTGATATATGTTGCTATTATGTGATATTTTAGTATTCTGTGTGACCTATGTTGTTGTTATGACATAAGTTGCAATTGAAGTTGGATATTGCCGATCCAGAATATCTTTTGTACTTTGGGGGTAATAACATATCATTGATTGAGTGAAAGTATTAGACAAACATATGTATCTGTTTCATTTGTTGGATGTTGGATGTTTACTAGCTGTTTGTAAATGATAAAATGTGCATTTGTAAATGACAAAACTACATGAAGGGAATCACTATTGAAGTATCGCTGAAGGACATAACCGAGACACGTGCACTAAACCTATCTAAGATTTACATTTCCCGACAGAATTCAATCTCTTTTGTGATGGTTGTCTGTTACATGTTACTTTTGACATTTTGTTGTGATATTTACTACTTAAATGTGACATATTACATATTCATGTGACTTATTAGTATTAAGTGTGACACCTGTAAGACCTTTACTTTCAGATTCCATTTAATATGTGACAATTCAATCTTACATGTGACAGTTCTACCTTATATGTGATATTTAGATCTGATTTGTGATATTTGAGTGTTGTATGTGATATTTGGGTGTTTCTTGTGACATTTGTTGTTTATGCGTGACATTTGGGTGTTGTATGTGATATTTAGGTGTTGTATGTGATATTTGGGTGTTGCTTGTGACATTTGTTGTTTATACGTGACATTTGGGTATTGTATGTGATATTTGGGTGTTGTATGTGATATTTGGGTCGTAACGGCTTGATCCGAAGTCGTTAAAATTGAACGCAGACTAGGGTCATAAGTCTTCGGATAAAATTGAACGCGTACTAGGGTCGTAATGGCTTCTTCGATCAATTTTAACGGCTTCGGATCAGGGTCCTGTTACGGCTTCGATCTCATCTTCAAGAACCACTCGGTGTCAGTGACCTCCTTATCGGGGTCGTCAAATCCGACGTCGGCAGGGCCAGTGATGAGGGAGTTGAATTACAGGGGATTTTCTAGATTTGTAAATGTTAACGATAACAACGGGGCGACGCATTGTATCTAGCGGCGAGACAAAGATGATTTTTTTTGTTTTAAATTTGTTTGCTTTAAATTTGAGTTTTGAGTTCATTATTTGTACTGCACATTGCTATAGATTGGTTCTACGAAGAAAATGGGATGATGAGTTGAGATTGTAACTTAGTTATTCAAAGTTAAATGAGATGTTTGGTAACTTTCATTACAGTCTTTCTAATGTAAGAAACACCCAAATATCACATACAACACTCAAATATCACGTATAAACAATAAATGTCACAAACAACACCCAAATATCACATACAACACCCAAATTTCACTTATAAAAAACCCAAATATCACAACCAATACTTAAATATCACATACAACACCCAAATATCATATACAACATCCAAATGTCACGTATAAACAACAAATATCACAAGCAACACCCAAATATTACATACAACTCCCAAATATCACGTATAAACAACAAATATCACAAATAACACCCAAATATCACATACAACACCCAAATATCATAAACAACACCCAAATATGACAAATCAGATCTAAATATCACATATAAGGTAGAGCTGTCACATGTAAGATTGAATTGTCACATATAACATTTAAATATCACATATAAGGTAGAGCTGTCACATGTAAGATTGAATTGTCACATATAACATTGAAATGGACCCTTGATTTCTTTTTTCATTTACCACATATAACATTGAAATGGACCCTTGATTTCTTTTTTCATTTACCACAAACAATGTTTCTTTACATATTGCATAAGCTAGATATCGTATGAAAAAAATCCTGCACATTTACAACATATGCTTGGATAAAGTAGGCAATGAGCCAGCAAGTCCTGCCCGTAACATCTCAGACTCCCTTTACAAGGCTTTAATATTCATTGCTTCCCTTTCCTCTAAGACCACCTTGATGAAAATATATACATGTATGCCACAATCATATCTGTAAAAATATCATATAACACTTAAACTGCAGCATATGTAAACAGGAATAAGAGTTACTGATAAACCGATGTCGAGGCCATCGATGAGTCTTGCCAGGAGTAACATGTAGACATTAGGAGCCCATAACATTAACATGCTGCCTATAAAGTAGAGAACTGATGAGATTATTAACATAGGCCGTCGAAGCCCATAACATTAACATGCTGCCTATAAAGTAGAGAACTGATGAGATTATTAACATAGGCCGTCGACCATAACATTAACATAATAGCAAGTAGAGAACTGATGAGATTATTAACATAGGCCGTCGACCATAACATTAACATAATAGCAGCATATGTCACACAGAATACCAAAATATCACATAACAGTAACATATATCACACAGAATACCAAAATATCACATAACAACAGCATATGTCAAACAGGATATCAAAATGTCACATAACAGTAGCGTAAGTCACACATAATACTAAAATATCACATAACAACAGAATATATCATCCAGAATGTCACTATATCACATGAAACTAGCATATGTGACATAAGCAAGTATCACATGTATTAATAAACTGGTACAAACTATAAAATACTCAGTTGACGGCTAGTTAGCATTTTCCTCAAAAATTATAGGATAAAATAAGAATTCAACGCCAATAATAAAAAAAGAGCACGAGAACTTTCAATAATCTCAATCTCCATCATCAAATTTGCGCAACAATTAGATCCAATTCATCTATCATCATAAAAAGTTATCATTAATATTGAACGTCCCATGTACCCAGTGATCACTTTACAAACCCTTAAAACCTCCTCTCTACTCCCCCATCAACACCAAACAAAATAATTTTTTTTAAAAAAATTAACACATTGAAAAAAAAGCCCTAACCTCAATCTCTCCCGTCATTCACCTTCGCAGTCCCCTTTCCCGCCACCGCCGCCTTCGGCGCCGCCACTGGGGTCTCTAAAAAAGTCGCAGAGCTCAACTCCATCTGCGCGATCCTCACCGCCCCAATCAATCTCTCGGGCAGCTCCTCCTCCTCCTGCGCCTCCACAACAAACCGCATATCGATCATGACCACCGTCACGTACCCAAGAGCCAGATGCAACACCACATTCGCTATCGCTGAGCTCTCAATGTCGACATCAATCTCCAGATAGTTCTCCCCTGCGGCAGCGACATGTCAGCGCTTTCCCCAGCAAACAAGTCGCATAGTTACCCACCGCCGCCTTCACAATACACGACCCCTTGACCATCCTGTTCACGATCTTAAACCTAGAATTGTGAAACACGTTGTCGCCGTTGACGAAGCGGTAGAGGAGGGATCCAGGCGAGATGGGCTGGTAGGGAAGCGAGACCTCGTCGGCAGTCATCGGTCGGGGGTGGAGGAAGAGGGAATGAGAAAATAGCTAGGGTTTCGAAAATTGTGCTCAGAAGGGGGTTTTAAATTGGGAAGGGTAATTTAGGAATGACTTTATTGGGTAGTGGGTTTGGGGGATACTTGCACTTATTTTTAAGTATTAGAGCTTGGGGGTTATGGTTTTGGGGCTGGGGAGGAGGATGCATAGCCCAAATTTTTTTAGTTCCTCCAAGCAATTTTCCCAAAAATAAAATCTCTTAATTTTCTTGCTTAAAAATTGCTTCTAGTGACCGGGAAAGTTTATTTGTCACATATTTGTTACTTTTAGGTCAAATTGTCATCGGTGCTATTTTTTAGACCAAAATAGTAAAGATGTTGCACTATTTAGACCAATTTGGTATTTTAGCCCAATTTATTTTTATGATTTATGAACTGGTACGTGTATAATTTGAACTCAACCCGACCCGAAATAAAATGAGGCGGCAGGAAATTTGATTGGAAACCCAAAAAAGAACTGAGAATGACGGCAAATCAGAAGGGGGTGGAAATGGACAAAGAGAGGGTTGGAACGTGGCAAACATGTGTTTTTAGCTGAGAAGCAAAAGTTTTTTTTTTTGTATTTTTTGTGTATAACTAAATTTGTTTTTCTTAAAAAAATTGGGTTTCGCATCTTTTTTTTTAAATTTTGTAGACCAAAAGGTTAGCTTCTATGGCCAATAATTCAAATGATGAAGAAGAGATATTATTTAAATAAGATCATGGCATTTATTGATTCAATTCTAAACCAGATTAAGTTTCTAGAATATTGGTCCAACAAAGAACCAGTTTTTAGA